TTCCAGGTTACCACAGTAATTTTCGAAAAAAAATTCTTCTGCCATCATTGGTCAGAAACCAATTTTCAGTGATTATTTCACACTCATTGCACGAGCACTACTTTCAAACATATCATATTCATTCATGCGTAGAGCGAATGTAAAACCACAAGTTAGCAAATATCGGAGTGGACCTTCATCCCAGTCAGTCAGTCTGTTTCAGAGTAAGCAGTTGAAACGTAAGCTATGGTCACTTGTATACTATTCAAGTTCAAGTTTCACAACAAAACTAAGAGTTCTTTTCACTTAAAATGAGGAATGCAGAGAATTTTCGGTTGGATGTCGTCAGTTCAGCAACGATTGAAGGATATCGAGAATTTCCGGCGGCTCATTTGCGAGGACTTTGAAAAAATTTAGACAATATTGATTTGTGTACCACAAGTTAGCAAATGTTAAAAATAAGCTGGATTTCACTTCAGTCAACTTCAAATCATTGTGCAAGTCATTGGTGACAACAGAGAAGTTAGCCAGCCCATTTGAGGGGCATTTACACTCAATGTAAATCTCACAAAATTAAAAAGTTGAACGCTGTCATAGATCTAGCGAGTTAATATGAACCATCCATATTCAGTCATATGAATCATCCATCCATATTCAGTCATAACCATTCAAAGTCTCCTGGGAACGGAAATGACCGCAATGAGGAAGTAATTAGTTGCATGTTTACGTGCTATCGCAAACGTTTTGGAACGTGAATATTGCATTTGGGAATCTCGCTTGAATGATCATTAATCCATTAACAGTGTATTATCCAGAGATGAGCAGTAGAGCGCTATCGAAATATAAAGTGAAATAAGCTTCTCCCTTTTCTCGTGAAATAAGCGAATCTCAGCGATAGCGCATTACTGCCCATCTCTGGCATTATCGATGTGGTTGCTGAACTAAAAACAAGACAAAAATGATGAGAAGGTCAGTTATCAAAAAGAGGCAGTCACAATTTGTAAGAGGATTTAATTTGTATCATACGTTCAATCAATGGATCAAGTTCAAAGTAAATGAAATGTGACGTGAATCGACACGAATACATCATTTCGTCACTATCACAAAGACAATAAATTAAAGAATGCTTCCGAAAGAACTGAAAATCTCCTCTGATGAAGTGCGTTTCACGGCTCCTCAAGAATCATTCATTTTATCGCTTCTATACAGCTACCACCTGGGTGCTTGCACACCTAATTGTTTCTTGGCAACCGCTTTCACAATCTATTTCAACCATACTTCAATTCATTATTTTTTTAATGCAAACAAAATCAATCGAGACGTGATATCATTGACATTTGTGATTTCTGAGAACGTTTAAATCATGTTGATTTTGAAAAATTCTTCGAATCGTTAATAAATATTTCGTGACAATTACTTACATCATATCGTGCAATGAAACAAATGTTTTGATCCATCGACTATAATTTGCGCTAGAAAATTTATTCAACAGCATTCCGCATTTTCCTTAAATATTTTTGTCTTAAATTGCACCTCTCGTATCACAGTTACATCGTTCTCAAAAGATCAGATGACGCTCGAACCACGTACACTTCGAAATTATCCTCAGTTGGAATGAGTAAAATTGGAAATGAGCAGAAAAAGCGAAGTAAGCAAGAAAGCATCTGCTAGTCCCCAAAAATAGACGAAGATTTTCACCTAAATGTATCCAAATGACTGAAAAAAAAAAAACATCTTGATGCCCACTATAATCACGATATGATGTGATGTTTATTGACGAGCTTACGATTCGCCAGCTTACACAGCAATTATAAAGCGGAGCTTATCAAGCAATGATCAAGTGGCAGCCATCAATTTTTGAAAGCTTTCAGAGCGCAAAACTTCCAAACACTCGAACTGTTTTCACTTACTGTGAATTTCAGGAAAAGTTTCCCTCTCTCTAGATCAAATCAGTGGATGCGCTTGAGCATTACGAGAGGCTGCTCCAAATCCGGCAGCCAATT